AAAAAAATATGCAAATTTTATGGCGGAAAGCGATCTCGGGAACCAGACAAGGTAAGGGGCTAAAACATTGCAGGGACATTCCCTGTGCATATATGAGCTAAAGATCTCAAATTCAGCCGTGCGGTACGCTTGATATTTAAGTAAGGGCGTGTGAAAGTTTTGGCGGGAAAATTACTAACTTGGGAGCCAGAAAAGCCAAGAAGTTGAAATTTTAGGGGAATGTTCCCTCTCCAAATACAATTAAATATTTCAAATTCAGCCTTCTGGTGTGTGTAATTCTCATGTATGAGCACTTAAAAGTTTTGGAGGGAGAACGCTTACTGAACAGCTAGGCTACTTTCAAAGAACGGTTATTAAATGGGAATTGTTCATTAATTTTATGCAAAATTCATGATGATTTACGCTGGTGAGCGCAAAAAGTAGGTGCAAAACAACAACCATTCATGTAGTTAATGACTTGAGTACTCCAAGTCTGGTGCAAAAACAAATGGTCGCACTGGCAAGCCTGCTGCGTTCCAATCTGGATTTAAATTCATTCACAAAAAGCGCTAGCTTGGTTAGAATGAGATTATTTAGCCCAATTTTGAGTTTTTCTATTACAGGCCAAATAGTTTTTTCCAAGACAATTTGTGGAATTTCTGCTCCTCTCGTGTTATCACTGGATCAAAAGCAAATTAAACTAGCTTTGTTTTATTACACTCATTTGCTGTCAGTTCGCAGCCTCCTACTGCAGAGAAGCGCAGTGTGTCGGCATTTTGCTGGGAATTATTATTCGTTGCTGCATTTTAGCTCGTCTGGATTCTGTAGCACTTTGAGTAAAGTCACTTGCTTTTCAAAATTTGCATCTTACAAACAAAGAAAGGAGTTTTAGTGTCTGCACCTCTTCTGGATGCGTCCTTTGTCGGTAGCTCTCATTTCAAAAGCCAGTTATTTTATCTTCAGCCAGGACCTGCTTGACATTCATTGGTGATTTTTGTTAGAGTTGCGTGTGGTTGTGTTGTTGTTTTGCTGTTTCGATAATTGGTGCTATACTTTTGTCTTGGAAAAAGTGCGGCCTCTTCTGCGGCTCTTTGACTGTTTTGAATTTGCAGCGCTCATTAAGCCACTGGTTTTGTATTTATCACAACTGAACCTTGCGCACTTTCAGGTCCGACAATGCTATCGAGCCGTAAGCGCAAGGAAGCCAGAGCGCTACAACAAAGATGGATAATGTAGCAACTCTTTGACATCTAGTTATTTGACGTATTTATCAACCTTCAATTGCATTTGTTAATCTAATGCTTGTAGCATGTCTAGAAAGCTTCCAGACGAAACATTTTGGAGGGGTTTTAAGGTTTTTTAAATTTTAGCTTTATTTAGAATATCTAATTGTGGTTTAGAAAATTTGGAAATTATTTTTTTTTTGGTCTTTTTTAGTTTTGAGAACTAAATCATGAAATTTTTGAGATCTTTCTTCTGAGGCATTAGTGGGATTTTAACAAAAGGAAATATTTGCAAAACTCGCTTCATGATTTATGTTCAAAACTATCTGCCTGGTAATATTCTGCATACCGTTCGCTCACCCGTAACCTTTGAATTAAGCCGCACGACTGCTCCCGCTTTTCTTTTTGCAAGCATCTATACAGTCATATTTTGAATTAAAACGATCTAAAAAATCTTTCATAAAATGAGCTAAAATAGTCACCAAGTGAAGAAGGAGCACCACAAGAGTATGAAATATTCGACTTTTGGTTGATTCTCCAGTGCCATTCGCTCCTATCCAAACTTGGACCGGGCTTTCCAACAATGAATATCGGTGGTTCGAAATTTTATTGTTCAATAACCAATACGTCTTCTCGCGAGATTTCATCACCTCAAATTTGGGTTATTAAACCCTTATTTAAATTGATTAACAAAACGCGTTTTCACGAAGCAATAAGTAACAACAATGCGAGTTAGGTCTGCAAAGCACACACACAGAGCAAAACATAATTTATATTCAAAGTAAGGCCAAAACAAACCATAGCCCATATTCAAAACAAACCATAGCACATTTTCAAGGCCATCCCAAAACAAAACATAACCTCTTTTCTTACTTCTCTGCAAGCAGTGTATGTCGGCCGTACTATATTAACGGCGCCTAATGAAGAAAATGATAACTGAAGGAAAAGAATTGGGCGGAGACGGGA